TTCCAAGTTACAACAGCAATGAAAAAAGGGACTCATCATGTTTTCCGAAAATATTGCAACACAGCAGCAGCCATGAAGTGACAACACTTGCCGCCTCCTGCACCTCAAAAATAATAAGACCTCCCCCAAAATAAGGCCAAGTTCTTATTTTGGGGGCCAAAAGCAAATAAGACCCTGTGTTATTTTCGGAAAACATGATGAGTCCCTTTTTTCATTGCTGTTGTAACTTGGAATGGTTACAAAATGAAATGATGTAAGTCAAGGATTATCTGTGTCAGTGGTTATTAAACAATGGGAAAGCCACAGGACAGAATTCCTGTAGTGTTATCAGAGCCACTGTTGGAGTCCACTGATCTCAGAACTGCCTTGAAAGCCAGATAGGGTTGTCCCTGATTAATATTTGGAGGGAGAACCAGCAGGGTTGTTAGCTAGATCAAGATATGGAAACACACATACCAGAAGGGCCTAACCCCGTAGTGGCCAACCTATGGCATGTGTGTCGGAAGCAGCATGCAGAGCCATCCTGTGAAGGATGCGTAGCCTCTCTGGCTCCTCTTCTGCATTCCTGTGCACACGTGTGCTGGTCAGCTGGCCTTTGTATGCGTAGGAGTGCTGAAACCAGGAACAGCGTTCAGCACACATGCAGGTGCCGACACCAAACTTTGGGGTTTCCGTCGCAAGCAGGCATGGCAGCCAGCTGTGTATTGGGCACCAGCCCATGACAGAAAGTAGAGGTTTGGGTGCTGGCATGTGCATATGCACCAAAATGCTGGTCTTCCAGATTTTGGCGCTCCTGCATGTGTGAAGGCCAGCGAGGCTGCACAGTCCAGGTGGGATGGCTTTGCATGCCATTTCTGGCATGCAGGTCAGCACACGGCAACGTAAATGGTTAGCCATCGCTGGCGTAACCCCTCCTCCCAAATGTCTTACCTTGTTGAACTTTGACGAAGGTAGCTTTGAGAATGTCCATCTGAATCCGAAGTTCTTTTATTTGCAATTTAAGAAGTTCAAGCTCTGAATGGGAATGGAATTGAGTTAGAGTTCCTCATTGACATCAAATTTAATTAGAGATTCTTCATTGCAAAGAATGATATTTGTAATAGTCACGACCCTGGAGAACATTTCCATCTAGTCAGAGGGACTCAATAACTTGACCCTCCTTCCTAGTGCTCTTACTTCAGGCACCCAATGATTGGATTTGTCAGATATTTTTTTTTAAGAAACCATGAGGGTTCTCTCATATGTTTTGAAGAAGGAAATAGGATTGAAATTAAATTAAGACTAATTTCACTTTTAGGAATATATGAAAAAATGGTATTCTATCTTTGGAACAGTGGTGGAATTCAATTTTTTTATTGCTGGTTCTGTGGGCATGACTTGGTGGAAGTGGTAGGGGAAGGATACTGTAAAATCTCCATTCCCTCCCCACCCCAGGGGAAGGTTACTGCAAAAACCCCATTTCCTCTCGATCAGCTGGGACTCAGGAGGCAGAGAATAGATGGGAGCGAGGTCAGTCAAAGGTGGTATTTACCAGTTC